TTTTTTTTTTATTTATTTCATTCAAATCCCACATAAATTAGATGCATGTGACGTGTGATGTTTGTTAGTTGTGGGCATTTATTTCTGCAATAAGTTATTTAATCATGCATGCAATCCAATTTTATCATGTCATCTAACTAATTATGCACGTGTGGAATGATTAATAATTATCAAATTGAATTAATCTCAATATATATATATGCCTTAATTAATCACGAAACTAGTATTCATCCTGTACACATGCACAAAAAAATAAAAATTTATACATTATATGTATGCATACAATATATGAAAATATATATTAGATAATGGATGTATTACATTTTAAATCGACTTATATGCAAATGCGTAATGTAAATATAAATTATTTAACTTACGTATGAATATTTATATTGATGTCATAAATTTTAATGAACAATATAATTTAGTAATCTAAAGGGACCATACATTTAATTAGTTAGAAAAATATTACAATTATTTTTATCATTGTTATTGCAATTTTCTAAACAATTTTAAGGTGTTTAATTATGACATTCATGCAAATTAACTAATATTAGATAAAAAACGCTTAAAAAGACAAAAAAATATTTTATTTTAGAAAAAGTATTTTAAAGAAAGAAATTGCAATACAATTTTTTTTATAAGTATGTAACTTTTACATACTAATTAATGTAAAATTATAATCAATTAGTGTTAGTAGTAATATTATATAATAAATCAATTTAAATTGTTATTACACTTTATTAATGAAAAATGAGCAGGAAAATTATGAACGTTTTATTAAATAAGTTTTATTTAATGCATCTGCTAGCAATTATATATATATATATAGATTAATTATATTGTTCAATTCTCCATTCATCTGAGATCTGCAGGAATCGACGGACCATGAAATTAAAAAACGTTTACGAATATTCTTGGATGAGTCCGCCTAATTACTTGAGGCATATATATACATATATAAATTTGGGGAGATGTTACGGTCCCGGAACTTATCCGTTGGCGTTTGTAACCGTTAGATCAATTATCCCCAAAAGTTACATGATGATCTAATGACTACAAACACGGAATGATTCCGTAAGTAGCATTTCCCATAAGTTTGTGGCTAGTTTTTTTTAATACGAAAGCTGTCATACATGACCATATATAGTTAGTAAGAATTAAGGTTAACTTCGACCCTACAAATAACACCTCAAGACAATAATTTGAGGGGCAATGAAAAATAAACGTCAAAGAAATTATAGCAGTAATTACTAATTAAGCCTCTAAGATATATTAATTAATTTTCAGTTAATCTCTTGTATCAATATATCGGCTCGTTAGGTTCGAACTCATCTCGTCTCGAACCCGAATTCGAATAATATCAAATGTCAAAAGTTTGAGCTTGACTCGTTTACAGTTTTATGTGCACGGGTGTGCAAACTCAATCTAACATCGAAAATTAAAGGTTTCAAAGTCAATATATAAGCTTAGTGTGTTACTCCCTCTATTGTCAATTAATTTTAGAATGGAACCCAATTTGAAGGTTGATGGAAAACTGAGTTTTGAATAGTTGGTCCTAACAGATTAAACATGTTCCAAAGTCCAAACATAAAGTATAACCTGCAGAACCAAGTATACATTTTATACAAAAGTGACAAACCATGTTTAATGTAAAACTAATTAACCAAATCAGCAAGAAAATTAAATATTATTAACATTGAAGAGCTTTCTTCAGATCATACAAAAACAACAACTAGAGCACACATGCATCAATCTTATAAATATTCCACAGTTTACAGTACATAAATATCATGATCACCACATACATATATATAGTCCATGCATGTATGTACACCACACACACACATATGGCATAATCAGACTATATATATAGCTTTTTATTTCCTATATCAACAACAACAACAACAACAACACAGGTGNNNNAAAAAAAAAAAAAAAAAAAAAACAGAGATAATATTAATTAATTAAGCAACAAACAAACCATACATACTTAACACGATTACGCGACCGACATAATTTCCTTGCTCGTTTCATCTCCAATCGCAACCGTATCATCAGCATCAATATTCTCCAAACCCTTAAAAAACCTATGAAACTCAGATCGGAACCTCATCATCTCCTCTTCCGGCAACGACACCAAAGCATTCACTGCACCATCTCCCGTCGGGAAAACCCAACAAATATCCTTCCTATGGTTAACAACGGGCCCGCCGTGCACGGGCCTCCCCCACGGGTACTCCACGCTCTCGAACCCTAGCCTTAGCCACGAGCTCACCATGTACTCGCCACATGGCAGTCCCTTATTGATCTCCAGCCAGTCGATCACCGACCTTGCGTACTCGTCCGTCATTCTTCCGGGACCTTCCGAAACCATCCCCACCAGCTCAGAAAACGGAAGCTTCTCGATCTCTCCGCGTCTCGCCGATGCGTACGCGACTAGAACCGCATTCCCACAGTACGAAATCGGCAGCGGAGGATTATTCAACCTCGACCGGAGATCAACCACGTTGAGAAGTGTAGAAATCTCGTTTTCATCATTTTTTTTCGACAGGGCCTTGCAACGCCATATAATTGCCATGGCGACGTTGAAGCTGCTGATTAGTTTCGGGTTCGCTTTTAGTTTGCCGCCTTTTTTCGCCTCGTTTTTTAGGAAATCGATGTCTGCCGGAGTTAGTTTGAAGACGTTGAAGGAGAGTTCCTCTTTCTTGCAGTCGAAAACCGGAGGGCCGCCGGAGGAAGGGAGGTGGTCGGGTTTGAAGAACTCCGGGTGGTGGAAATCAGCGTGGGGCGGTGACCGGGCGGTGAGGAGGCGGCGGTCGAGGCAGGGGAGGACCGCCAGCTGTCGCCCGTCGTTGAAGCATTGGGATGCGAGATTCTCGTTGAAGGCTTTCGCGCTTAGGCCGTCTAAAAGAATGTGGTTTACGGACATGCCGAGCGCTAGGCCGCCGCATTTGAATGATGTCACCTATTTGTTAAATCAAGAAAGTTACCAACGAAAAACAGAGGAGAAAGTAAGTATTTAAATATGTGGCAAACATATATTTTTAGTGTCAAGATTCAAACTTTTTGTCTTGTCATTTAATATTTGTTGCAATTTAAGTCATTTGAGTACTAACAAAATTTTAGAATACAGAACTTAAATTGCTAATCGAAAATCTAGGAATTTGAGAATTTTTTGCTAGCAAAATATTAAATCACATGACTAAAAAGACGAGATGTTGGAAACATTGAGCTAGACTAAAAATGTTTTGCCTAAATACGTAGATGATGAATTGATGATTATATATTGAGTACCTGGAGAACGAGTAGAGGCTGATCCTCTATGCCGGGAAGAGTCTGACGAGCGAGCTGCCGGAAAATGGGGTTAGGGCAGAGCAAGTCGCCGAGCTCGGGCAGGGTCAAAGCAGATGAAGCTGCCACGAAACCGGCTCCGGTGGCATTGCTGGAGTCGATGACGAGGCGGCCAGTGTCGGGGTTCAGCTTAAGTCTTCCGGCCACAAAATCGTAGGTCTGGAGAAGCTTCTGGAGGGCCGACCGGAGCCTATGGGTAGCGGTCTCCGGAGGGTAGTCTTTGTTGGGGGAGAAGAAAAAGACGGTGGGGACGTAGTAGTTGAGAATCTGGTCGATGTTGGAGAGGAAAAGAGATTTTTGATGATTTTGCGGCGGGAATAAGAGTGTTGATTCTCGAATTGTGAGCTTCAGGTCTTGGATGGCTGGGTCGGGAGAGATGATTGCCATAATATGTATGTGTAATGTGTAACTTTTGTTTGTTATTCCTTAAGAGATTATTATTTATTTTATATATATGAAAATGGATATGGTTTTGTTAGTTTTTGTGTGTTTGTATGTGTCTGTGTTTTTTTTTTTTT